CTGCAAGCTGGAAGTGACACCTCTGCCTGGAGAAAAGCAGAATAATCCCAGAGCAACGAGGAGGACAGGGGTTAGATGGGACAAGGACCAAAACGGTCAGTGCTATTAGACAGGTCTCTCTGGAGACCCAGAACTGCCGTTGCAGCTCCTGTTTCTGTTCCCAGAGCTGTCTTCAGGTCACTTAAGCCGGTGTTTTTAAACATGGGCAGCCTCATGCGAGATCCAAACAGAGACCCCGTCTGGGCTGAACGGAGGGCGGCAAAGCATCGAGATGAATGCAGACCGGGCTTGTAAACAGTTTGTGGCACAAACCAGGAGAGTGCCCGGTCCACTCCCACCGTCCCACTGCAGCCGGCTCCTCTTGCTTGGCCAAAGTGTCACAGCCAGGATGACTCTGGGGGGACTTTTATTTTATCCAGAGAAGTCAAAACAAGTTCCTCTGAGCTATACAGTGAACGTATGCAACTAAAAAAATTTTTTTTGCAAAAATCCAGTTGGTGTAATAAAAGATACCACCTTTACCACGAGTCCTGATTGCTTTTTCTGAACTATGCACCGGTTTATTGGGATGCAATCAATCAGGCAACGTTACTAAGAGGAGGTGCACGTATTCCCTACGTACAGCAGAGAATACACAGACACCCTCACTCAGGGGTGATGAGGATGCGGGCCCCTCAACCTTTCCCATATGGACGTGTCCGATGTCATGTCTGCTCCCCACATGGTTCAGGGGTTCCTTGGTAGTGAAAAGCAACCTGGTTCCCCAAAGCTTGAATTATCCAGCAGATACTTCAGGGTTTTCTAGGTTTGTGGTGGGCTATTCATAAAGGAAAAGCAAGAAGTTTCTTCCCTATTCTTACATCTTACTGTTCAGGTCTTCTAACCCTACCGACCCAGCACCAACGCTTCCTCTACAACCCTTCCTGCTTCCAGTGCACTTTGCACACTTCCTCCCCGGCCCTTCACAATGCAAGTGCATATCTCCTGGTGCAGACAGAGCAAACCGAGAGGACGGGACCCGAGAGGGTCAGAGGTGGGAGCAGAACCCAGGAACCCCGACTTCCAGCCGTGCTCGGGCTCCCCCCACCCCGTACCGATAACTCGCCTAGGAGGCTGGTAACAAGCTGGCATACAAAAAGGCAAATTGCAGAGCACATGCTCGAGATGAGATGAGATAGAGCTTTCTGAGCTGCCAGGCTATAATTTCCACGTGCTGCTTCACGCGCTGTAACGAGAGAAAAAAACATCATGAGTAGGTGTTTTGTGTGCGAGCCCGGTATGCAGCTTCCCACAAGGCGCCTGGCTGCGAGATCGCACATCTTCAGACTGTGTTCCTGCCTGCTCGATCAAAGGCGAGGGGAAAGCAAAGGCCTCTTCAGCATCACCCTGCTCTTTCACAATTAAGATCTCGCATTTCTCTCCTGTCTTCCCAGACTGCAGCACCTTGTTCACAGCCAGAAAGGAGCTGCTTTGGGAGCCGTATGAGAGGCTGCAGCTGCAGAGCAGCAAGTGGTTTGGGACTGAAAGGAAGAATCCTGTTGGGGGACAAGAAAAATGAATGGCGGTTCACCTGGCTGGAGTTCAGAGGGGGTGTCCTCTACCGCACACGGCAGCTCCGATGACCGCCAACCAACTCTCTTTTGCATTAGCCCACAGACAGCACCTGCAACCTGTTACCCCTAACACCTGCACTTGCCTCGCTGACTATGGGATGCACTGCATGGGGCACCAGCTCCTCTTGATCTCCAGTCTCCAGTGTGTGTTCAACAAGTGTGCAAAGTGTGCATGTTGCTGCTGGTCACTATTGCTAGCAGGCTGAGCCTCCGCCTCGGCCAAGGGGAGGGAAGTAGTAGCGCAAATCTCAAGTTAGACGGAAAGCAGGGTAGATTTGCACCTTCTAGGCTAAAGAGATGCCCTTTCATAGCACCTGACAACGTGAGCTCATGAAAGCTGATGCCCTGTATCTATTCCTTTTAGAAAGGTGCTCAAGGAGGTACAGGATAAGGGTTTACCGAATACTAAACGGCAAAGAGAAAGTCACTAGACATTTATCACTGACCGGCTGCATCTACACAAGACGCTTACTGCTCATTACTACGGTGCAGTAGCACCGCGGCGCACGAACCATGACATGACGCTACTGCACGGTAGTAACGAGCTTCTGCGCAGCCAGCATCACCATGAAGCCATGCCTGGATGCTACTGTGCAGTAATGCTGGTTACTGCACAATCATTTAGTACTTGGGTATGCAAGTACTAAATAACTGCGCGGTAACAACTGTGCAGTCAGCGCCTCGCCTCTCTCACAACACAAGGACGAGGGGTCACAACATGAAACTAGGAAGCAGTTAATTTAAAATTAACCAAAGGCAGTTCTTTTTCACACTGTGTGTCATTAAAGGGGGGGACTCACGGCCACCAGATGTGGTGGGAGCTGAGAGTTTAGCCAGATACACCCAGAGGTTGGACACGTGCGTGGAGGAAAGGGGCATTAGGAGCTAATGAGCAGGGGACTGAGGGGCACGGCCTCCAAATCAGACTTTCCTGGACCTTAAATGCTGGAGGCTGCAAGGGAGAGAGGAACTGGGGAGAAAACCCTGCTCAGACCCAGGTCGCTCTCCCTTCCAGCCTCTGCTCTCTGCCCTGTGTGACACAGGAGCCTGGGCAAGATGGACTGTGGTCTGGCCCGTGGGAGTACCTAGGGGGGTGCACTGGTGCACGTGCACCCCACTTTGACTCCTGCTGCGCCCGAAGTTTCAAACCATCTGCCTGGCAGCGACAGCAGCGTTGCTAGTCAGGCAGTGCTGAGGGAGTTGCTTGACTTTGTGGCTCGTTATCATCTACCTGATCCCTTTTAAAGTCTTCATTCCACAGGCGTTAATAACCCTCGCTTCTTTTGAATGGGCTTGCTGTTCCACCAATCAAGCTCACTGCTGTTCCACCCTGCTGTGGTACATTCATTGCTCCTGGTCACGAAGCTCCTATTTCACAGCCCGGCAGACTGTTTTTAATTCACCTCAATGAACTTGTATTTGTTTTTTCTTCAATCTTAAACTGAATAACCCAGCCTGAGGCCCCAAGCATGTTAATAAAGCTTCTAGTTTCTTTTCGGCTGGAGAAAATTGTGTGTTGTGTTATAAGTGCCGGTGCACTGCAACACCTGCACCCCTCTTTTCAAAAATCTAGATCCACCCGGGAATAAAGAGATGCCGTTTCACAGCATCTGACAAAGTGAGCTCATAAGAGCTTATGCTATGTATCTATTCTGTTTAGAAGAGATGCTTGATGGGATACAAGATAAAGGTGTACCAAATACCAAACAGCAAAGAGGTAGTCATTTGGGGTTTATTATTGATGGTCTCTCACAACACAAAAACGAGGGGTCACAAGATGAAACCAGTAAGCAGTTAAGTTTAAATCTGACAAAAGGATGTTTTTGTTCACATAAAGTGCAGAACTCGTTGCCGCAAGAAGTGAGGGAAGCTGCCAGGTCAACCTGGTCCAAAAAGGGATTAGACGCCTTCTTGGAGGAAAGGTGCAATGGTAGCTATTGAATATTAGGGGTCTCTGAATCAGAGCTTACTAGACTTCAAATGCCGGAGGCTGGAAGTGAGAGAGGAGCAGGGGAAAAACCCTGGTCAGACCTTGTCTACTGTCCCTTCCAGCCTCCACCTGTGCTACATGGGCCTATTTGATGCACAGCCGTAGGTGAGAGCCCACGAGGAACTTGCTAGCCCCCCTGTTATGAGCCGTGCACCAACTGATGCTGGGAGACAACCGAAATGAAAACAGGCATGGGACAGGGGATCCAAGGTTGATATCCAGGGTGTAGGTTGTAGGTGTAGTTGGTCTAATAAAAGATATCAGATTCACCCAAAGAAGGTTGATAATAAGCACTTTAAACTTAACTGCCTACTGGCTTCATCCAAGGGGGGGACACTGAGCAGAGAGCACCAGCCAGTGCCCACCGGCCTTCACAGACTTATAGAAGTTTAGGGCTGGAAGGGACCTTGTGAGATTGAACGAGTCGGGGAGCCAGGAGACACTGCCCATTGACCCTCTGCCTGGAAACGTGACCGGACTAGGTTGCAGGACTTTGAACCCGTCAAGGAAAATCATGGGCTCAGGTACCCACCAAGGACATTATAAGGCCCCTTTAGTACTGGGAAAGCACTAAGGACATGTTAGAGATTACTCTGGACAAATAGTAATGAAAGTAGGGACAGGCGTGGCAGCCAAAGGGTAATAATGAGTGCGCCCGTGCAAGGGGGACACCAAGCAGAGAGCACCCATCAGCACCCACTGGCCTGCAAATGAGTCCGAGGAGCCAGTGGACGCTGCCCGTTGACCCTGCTTGAAACGTGACCGGGCTGGGGACAGGACTTTTCACACATCGAGGGAAAACATTGACCCAGGCACCCACCGGGCAAACAATAAAGCCCCTTTAGCACAGGCTGCAGAACTGGGTGGGCCACCCAGGCCATGACCCGACCAACTTTTAGCACGTTCATTTAGCTAGCTATGCAGTTAAAAAAACAGCTACACCGTTTTAACTGGCATGACAATTGTGCATTGGTGGGTTATATAAATGAACGTGCTAAAAGTTGCCCTGGCCATGGCCCGGGTGGCCCACCCTTATGCCCTTTAGCACTGGGGGCTACTAGCGTCTTGTTGCAGATTGCTCGGGACAAATAATGACGAAAGCAGGGACAGGAGCGGTGGTCGAAGGGTAATAATTAGCGCGCCAATGCAAAGGGGAAGCCGAGCAGCGAGCCCTGGCCCTTGAACGAGGAGCAAGTGGACGCTGCCCGCGGAGGCGTGCGCGCACCAGGGGTGGGCAAGCCGGCGTGACTCCCACCCGGGCTGGGGGGTGCAGAGGCAAGTGGAACCTGGCCAGGGCCACGTGCCCAATCCGACCGCAGCGCCCCCGCCCGCCACCAGGGGCCGCCGCCGCGCGCAGCCAGGCCCCTCTCGTGCCCCGCACGTGGGTACCACCGCGCATGCGCTCCCCGAGGCAGGAGGCGGGGCCGCGCCCTCGCCACGTGACGGGGGAAGAGGTGAACCCGGAAGCGGAAGCGAGGGGGAAAATGGGTCGCGTTGCCGTGGCAACGGTGTGAGGGGGCCCGGGGCCATGGGGGAGCTGGGGCTGGGG